TCAACAAAATGCATAATTGGCTTAGTCAGGTTGAATTAAAGACAGCATTGTACATGGTGTCAGAGCAGATAATTGTGATGACTATGTGCCGTACTCCAGACCACGGCACATACCGGTACAAAAGCCGGAGATTACACGACACTCGAATAATCTGACAAGCGCTGACATCACTCAACCATCAACCAATGTGCACCTGATGACACATGCCTCTCGATGAGAAATGCATGCATACACCAGTCTGTCCTGTTGCTGTATTCTCAGGACGCGCTTGGCAGTGGCCGGCACCACGCCTGAGTCGGCAATGCTGCTTCCGAGCGCATCCTCTCCATTTATGACAGCCAGCCATGGAACATTGTGTAAGACGCTGATGAGACCACAAATCTCATCACTTCTGAATGGCTGGGTAAAAAGCGTACGTCTCACCTGTGATATTGTCTTATTACCCATGAGTCATAGGTGCCAAGTCTCCCTCCCCTCCCCCCACGACATTCAGCATTACAGTTGGTCGAATGGCATCATGACTGTCATGACCACCACAGTCTGTACCAACTAAAGTACGTGTAGCTAGGTTCTTTCTAATTTGGCTCAAAGAAATCTGACAGTGCATTTCAACTGGTTGAATAATGTCATTACTGCTGCACGAGCATGTAGGCCTACTCATTCAATCCAGCAATAAAAGAACAGCAAGATTTCTTCTGGAGACACTGCTTACCAACCACACGACAAAGTATGTTTCAAATGGAATCCTGGATGAAAATGACATCCCAAAACACTCTGTGGAAGTTCCATGTGACTGTTGAAACATAACAGCCAAAGAAGAACCTTGCAATAACCAAATTTACTGACTTTAGAATTTGTTTCCCCAAAAATATATATTGTCTCTTTGCCTATGGAAAGAGGAACGTTTACATTTTTTTATTGAAATGGACAACCACACATCAGTATTAGATCAAAGTAGTATGGTTCGTCAAATCATGCACTAGATCAAAGTAGTATGGTTAGTCAAATCATGCACTGTGAAAAGTGGAACACCTCTCTCTGGCCCCCATCCTTTGGGTCCGTGGCCAGACCAAGAACTTCCAAGAGCGTGTCATCTAATGCATAAAAACATGCAATACACTAACATTACCATCCATGTCTCCCTCTTGAGGTCATTCTCTTCCCTCACAGGAGGAAAAAAAAAACATCCTCATCAAGTTTTCCTCGCTTGAGAAACTCTGAGAAAGGCCAGCCCACGAAGGAATTCAAGCCATGCCTGACACTCTAACTAGCTGGCTGATAAAGCTCACTGACTGCTGGGTTATCAGTAGAGATGCAAAAAGTGCTCATTAACAGAGCAGTCGACATTTGATGTCTCTAGAAAAAATCACTCGATCGACTTGGCAGGTCCTTGCAGCCTGTGTGGTTCTCCTGGGGAACATTTGTTCACAGCAGTGTTGGAAAGTATCTCCTTAACTGTAGGGTGTGAACAAGACCTGTGAATTTACTGTAAGGAGATATGGAATTCACAGGGAGATTGGATCCCCGAATGTGACATGAAAAAGCAATAGTTTCCAATGAGGATGCTGCCCAAATTCAGGGAAGCTTTTTTTCTTTATCTCTCTCAAACCATCCCAGGGGCCTAACAGCACACTTAATGTTCAACTTTAAACTTAACGACCCTTAAAGAGACTCACAGGGATAAAAGGTAACCAAAAAACAGAGAAAATACAAATCGTTCTTCTACATTTCTCAGAAGTTGTACAGACAAGGAATTCCAGAGTGCACATATATTACCATTGTTAATGATTAATTGCAATATAATCCCAGTCAACGTTATCTGTGAGATATGGACAACTGTTTAGATCGCCGCTTTGCAGATCGGAAGATTTATCATGTCAGTGCGTGCTCCATTGGTTGACTGTCTTCCATAGAGTGCTTCCTGTTTCCTGGCAACCACTCAGAATGGACCATAATTCAATAATGAAGGTATCAAAGACAAGAGGGTGATCCGTCAACAATTATTAAAGATGTCCATTTGGGGCTGTACTTTCTGTAGCTGTCTCTCTAAATATTTGGTTTTCAAATATGTAAAGGATATATATGTAAATCTTCCTGACTACTGATACGTGTACATGTGTAATACAAGGACGTTAACTGGACACGTCCACAAAATTACATACATGGTGTTTACAATTTACATATCACCTTGCATGTATAAGGAGGACATCAGCTTGGGACCCAAGTAAGCTGCCCCCCCAAAAGGAATCCAACCCTGGTTAGGTTGGCAAGGTGTCAAGTTGTCCATTCACTCCAATATCAATTTAAGCAGGCCGCCATTGTTCAGTTTCCCCATAAACTACAGCCTCTTGACCATGTTTGCCAACGGGGCAGAGTTTCACCTGGATAGAATGCTGGACATGCTCAGCAGCCATATTGGATTCTTACGACAATGTGAAAGGGGTTGAGAGTAATCGCAGGCTTGACCCAGGCCTGACACCCGGATATTCTGGGTGGCAAGAAAGCACACAGAGACTACATTATTGTGAGGACCCACCACAAGCACTTCTGATCTCATCAGCATTTATCTTTATATAATGAACTAAGGCTCTTTCCGGGAAGGTTTCCTTTCATTACAGATAAAATACACCAAGATCCGTCCCAGTAAATAGTGCAACCGACAAAAAATCCCTCAGAAAATATTGTTAGTGGATTTTAGGTGTTCCACTTTGAAGGCTTAACTGTGATCACTCAAATAAAAAACAGGTAGGTGTGCCGAATAATGATGTTTGTTGAACGTATTTGAATGGTCACGAACCTTTGAAGTTTGCACCATTCCAGAATTTTGTTCACAATTGTGTACATAAGGACATAACAGAGACTTACAACTTGGGACTCCGAGACCAGTTCGTGCATTGAATAATCCACCAGCCAATCTGAAGAACAAACAAACTCCCTGTCCACCCAGATAAAACTGTGGTGTTTATCGAGTGTTCAATTTTTTGAATGGGTCTGGGTCCAGTGTCTTTCTACTGGTTGCCTATGCATTAAACCTGGACCTGGTTGCCAGGAGGCCCTATAATGTGTCCCTTGAATATTCTTGACATGTACATGGCTGTACGAGTCCCACACAATGGTATAATCTGGATTTGGAAGAGGTTGTTTCTGAATCGCAAGAGTTCTTAGGCAGGATTTACAATTACATCAAGAAACGTATAGCGCATATACAGTGCACGTGTGCATACATACCGCTCATCTGACTGAAATCTGTCATGAAGGAAACAGACGAAGACAAACTCAGGCCTACTTTATGTAGAATACTTTATGTAGAATACAACTTCTTTCTATAATTTCCACCTTGCACCAGACTTGCCATTCTGAATACATGTATTTGAGGACAGACAGCCACACCAATTTAATCTTTCAATGTTGAAGGCAAAGCTATACTCGCCCGTGCCTGCAGTTGAAAACGAGGGCCAATTCTGCACCACTCTGGTAGCGAGATTATAGAGGGGATGTGCAAATATACGGTACATACGCAGACTAAGTTGCGGATGTTTCTTTTAAATTGCTACTTCATACACACACTGTTGAGGAGGGAGCCACTTTTGTGTAGGGGACTTTTGTATGTTCAAAATATGCAATAAATTCACTGAGAGTCTCAAATTGAGGACTAATTTTATACCATCAGTCACCATTTACACTCCAAACTGTTTAAACTGGTTTCTGAGGGCTGACCATTCAACCAACTGCTAACTTCTTAAAAAAACATTTAAAAATCCACTTTGGGACCTTATCAGGAGATTTCATACCTAATTACACTTTCTTTCTGCGGAATGCATCATCATGTTAAATGGGAATAAAAACCAGACAGCAGATACACAACAGAACCATACGGTGTTTGTTTATATTTTGAATATGAACGGCAAATCAATACAGTGTTTGTTGGAAGTGTGGCTCCACGACCCAGTTTGCACCTTTGCTTGTTATTGTTATAGGGGAACATATTGACAAACCCAGCAAATGCGATCAAATAAATCAATAAACATTACATCTGTTTAGGAGCAGGCCTTACCACTGTATTCATCAGTAGGGTTCATCACACAGCAAGGGGGTTTACAGCATTAATGCAGGTCTTAACATCAACAGAAGGGCATTTAAGTGTGATTAGATCACGAGGAAATAAGAGAGCTTCACTCTTTCACTTCACTACGTGTACATTTACGCTACATTTCCACATTTCAAAGGGAATTTTTCCGCCAACAAATAATGGAAAACCTTACTTAAGACAAAGCTGCCTCTTCTCTTAAGAGGATATAACATTAATGCTGCAGTTCATCATGTTTTGCAACTGTCATGTGAAACTCAAATCAGCAAACAGCCCCCTCCCCAAAAAATTGTTTTTTCATCAGAAAGTCTCACCACATTTACCTGATTGGAATCACCAATTTACACTATACTATTCAAATCTGCAATTAATATTTTGTAAAAATGCATAATGGAAGTGCATATTTCACTGGGCAAATTCAAGAAAAATTCCTTTTTTTACAATCAATTAACAATTAGCTCATTTGCACAGGAACTTACATCCCCGCGCACTGTTAGCCACAGCATACTTTTTACCTTCCACTGTACGGATGTACATTGGTTTGACATTCTATCTTTTTTGAGATAAAAATTACTCGCACTGAGTTTTGGAATTTAATTAAACATATGACATTCTATGAGGCTATAATTTACAGATTTTAGGTAATTTTAATGTGAATAAAGTACAATGATGGACAAACTACTAAGAATGTGGATGGTTTCCCAGTAAAAGCTCAGCTTTCTTTAATGGATACTTAATCCATTTGTAATTTATCCAAGGAGAGAATCGCCCATTCTGCGTCTGGCTTGTCAATCACACAGTAAATAAAAGTCAACCATAAGGAGATAATCGGATATCCCCTGTGAACAAAGCCAGGGGCACTGCTTTTCGCGATCATCTGCATCAGTGAATTTCTTTAGCTTGTTTTACTTACCCAAATTTGCGATGGTGAAATTCTTGGGGGGTTTCAGCACCCTCCTTGCGTAGGCTTCTCTCAGGCAATCTAACTCCTTCTCGCTGCCTCTAATCAGGAGCACCCAAGGCTCAAGGAAGCCCAGAAATGCCACCTCTTTAACGCTCTCGGCCAGCGGCTTGTTCCAGAAGCTGTGCTTGTTCTCCCGCTGGAAATCCCTGAACAACTCCTTGCCTACTTTGCGGTGGTGGTGGTGGTGCGACTTCAAACTTTCCGAGTCCGTGTCCTTCTTGATCTGCAGTGGGCTCAACGCCAGTGCAAGGCAGCCGGGCGAGAGGACCACATTCTTGGGCGATTTTCTCTCCGGTTTGACGCTTTTCTGCGACATTTTGAAGGGTCTTTTCTAGGGTGTAATTCCAGTGTGTGTCAGATCATGGTTCTTCACGAAATCGTGCGACTCCAGCTGTTCCCGTACGTTTTATGTGTGTGCGACTGGTACTGGTAGCAATCTATTATGCGCATGTAGATCGTGAGCCCGGTTTGGACGTTGGACAGGTGCATTGTGCAGTGAAGTGAATGGTTAGACTCCGTTATCAGTCGTTCATTCAATGCAACTGCCTACTTGCTCCATGCTCTGATGATCACAAAAGCTGCCAGCTACTGAAGGAATGGTGTAAAGGCGCCTGTCATGGAGTGCACTTGTTCTTCTCCAGTACTGTACCCCTCAAATTACGTTATCAAAGTTTAGTGATAAAAGACTTTGGTCTAATTGCTTTCTTCTATAATTGCAGAAATTACTTTTCAGAAAGTCTTCTTTCAGTTTGTTGAATTCATTTCGTTTTATTAAAGTACAATTCATTTCGTTTTATCAAAGTACATTTAACCGCTTTTCATTAACTGCATTTTGCGTTACTGCTTCTGGCTGTAAATTGTGCGTCCTTCTTGTTAATGTTTTGATATGAAGTTGAGGGGAAACTTGGAATTGTTTCCACCGTCTCCCGAAACTGTATCATATACGCCCCCATGATCCTGTTACTTTATTAATCACAAAACGAAAGGGAAGTCATTCCATATCACAGGGAGTGATCTTTTTTGAAGCGTTACTATGGCAACCGTCGTCTGCTGTAGACAAGATGCGGTTGATGTTTGACGCCAAGCTGGTGCTCAAAAGATTTCATTTCTTCCTGTACTCGACTCCAAGACTTCTCGTACAGATTTCCTTTCTCCGTACGAGAGCAGTGCAGGTCGCTCTTGGCAACAAAAGATGCCACTGTAACCCTACTCGCCATGTAATCCGCGAGATGTAACAGAGACAAGCACACGGATCATCGGGTTACCGGGCAAATAGCGCTCGGGACTTGGCGGTGTCTCGCCAGGTAGTCTCGCGCCCGTATTTATCGCTTGGCGACTGGAATCTGCCCCACGTTTACCGACACCGGAGCACACTCAGACTATGAACACACTACGCAAGGCGACCAGTGGTGCTCCTAGTAAGATGGAAGATGCAAACTTGAAGCTGATTACCAGACGATACTTGAATGCTCCGTGACGACTATACTGATGAAGGAAACCACAATCACTGGACAGTAGAACAAGGGTGGAGAGGCTGCAAGCAATTTGGGCAACAGGCCTGGGGAAGTTGATATCTGAGGAAACGAAGAAATGTTTTGTTTGTGTGTGTGTGTGTGGTTAATTCTGCGACGGATGGCAATGATGTTTCGGGGGATTTATGTGGGCATTGACCAGGAAAGGGCAGAATTACTATTCAAAGCCGCATAAAGTTCGTTTTACTTGACAGTAAACAAAATATGTAGTTAATCCCTTCTTTTCTTATTCGTGTAACTTGTAGCATGCCGCGAAAATGTGGCATTCTCTACGTAGGTCTGTTTCTACGTATTTGTGTACAACGGATCGTAGCAGCGCGATCATTTTCAGATCTCATATTCGTGTTCGTCTTCTCCATAGGAGGGATAAAACAATGTAAATGAATGCAATTTTAGTCCGGGATCACGAAAGAGGGTCAGGAGGACGTAAAGATAGGCAAATCTCAAACCGCGTGCGTTCACGCATTTGTGGTCCGCAAGAGGGCGCTATCACAGTCCAACGATCAGGATCAGATAACCAGCCGCCTCCGATATACATGTATATCCCGTGGTACGGAGAGCATCAGTGCATGTGATAAGTTGGAAACCACCACTACCGCAGACACGCTTGAAAAGGAAATTGGTTTACCGACCCTATCGTCTACAGTTCACTTTAAAAAGATCTGACAAATTTTTACTGCATGACATTAAACTACTTTTGTGACCTGACTCTGGTTAAGTGTAGACCAGTTATTTTAAGAATGTCCACTTTATTTCTTGGATTCTCCTGAACTAAATGACTTTTGAAGAGAAACAAAATAAATTTAACTTCCAAAGCAGACATCCTTTTTTAATAGAAAAATGGCTTTTTTAACCCCTCCCCCCAACAAACAAAAAACATTCCATTGACTGGAGTAACCTGAAATGTACAAAACTCGAAAGGTAACTGATGTTTCAATCTTAGCAAGGTCTTTCTCTAGGGTAAAAAATTTACAAAAAATTACAAGACATCTAAACAAATGTAATTTACACAAGATGTGCACAAGTGAATATGACTTTTCTTTGACCCTTTCAATACCCAATGAAAGACTTGGTAACATATAAAAAAAAGCATTTACAAAGATCCTGAAATTCTCTTAATGAAAATATATAATGCTAGGTACCCCAAAAAAAACCAGGGTGAGTGGCATATATATTTTGACTTATTATATACTTTGACAAGTGGCTTTTTTATGTCATCTACTTAATCAGTACCCTATAATTAATAGCTAATTTTATACTACAGAATGGTATTCTCTAACTACTTTTTGATCTAACACCAAGCCTTCCATATTGACTTTTGCTGTTTTGATACCAACTCTTCGCTACATGTTGAATAGGCTATCATTGTCTGCAAATTATCTATTAAATTATTATTTAAGTCTATCAAATTATTATTTAAGTACAAGCAATCATTACATGTACATTCCGTTACCAATGAGTTCCAATAGAACATAACCTAAGCATACACTTGTACAACATGTACTAGCTTGTTTGTGCATGTAAAACTTGATGCATACAACTAGTACAGAACTTGTGTAAACTAGTTCGGAAAATCTAATTGACAAGTGAATAGGTCTCCTTGCAATGTGGGCACAGGTGTGGAGTATAGAGCTCTGCACAAAAGTGGTCCACACAATGCAGGGTTAGAGGACACTGTGTGGAATTGCACACGTCCATGCACCTACAGTATTTCCCCTCTCTGACCAACAACTTCCCAGGCATTTTGGAGTTGAGGTTATTTGTGGCAAAATGAAAAGAAAGGTTCGCGAAATCAGCATCCAAAACCCGGCTTCAAGGAGTTATCACACTGGGAGTTGAAAGAGCTTTTAGCTGGAGTTTTCTTGAACACAGGTGAATAAATGGAACTTGCACACAACGTACGTGTGGGTGGGTGGGTGGGTGGGTGTCTGTAATAACCCATATTCCTTACTCTCCGATATCCTCTCAAACTTCTTGGTGAATTTTGCAGGATTGAAGAAGGTAGTGCCCAGCCACCATACTTCCTTGTTCTTCACGTGGGGCTTAACCCCCATCCCCCCTTGAAAGTTATGTAAGTACACGTGCAAAGAAACTAAGAAGGCGGCATTCATTAGCTATCGTACGGTAAATATGGGAATCAATTTTTGTGGGTTTTCATGACGGAAAAAAAGAGGATAAATGTTGGCCCAGTTCCATTTCCTTTTCTCAGCCCCAAACCTCAGAAAGACTATAAAAATTATGTGAAGATATCATAACATTAATGTGTTCCCTAAATTTGTTTGCCCGCTCCCTGAAAATTTGGATTCGTCCTGCAACTTCTCAATTCTAAGGAGCTAATATTAGGCTCTGTTTTGCAGAACCACGGGTAACAATACTGTTATTAAGAGAACCACATTTTACCGTACACTGTTTATAAAAATGCCAGTACAAAAATATGTTAATCCAAAAATATTATCTCAAGAATCTATTGTTCACGTCTGTATCATCACTATCATCAGGAAGCATATTGGCAAGACAAGAGAGTTGTTTCCTTGTTTGACTGTATACGTACGCTAAACATCTGTAACTACAGAAAGACGTTTATGCAGATCCAACAATTTTAAATAAAATTCTCAAAAAGTCAAAGGGGCGCCAGGCTACAAGTGGCATCAAATACTGCCTGTTAGGTAGAAAAATTTATGAAACCTCATAAATATTCATGAGCAAATTGGAGCGCGTCATTGGCCAATTCCGCCTCACGTCACGGAAGTAGAAATGATACGCGACCAGGTGACATCATAGCGGTGAGTATCCGCCTCGCTGCCATGCAGTAGTTTTTTCTAGTAGCATCAAAAAATCCCTCTTGAACCTGCCGTGTAAATATGTAGTCTGTGTCATATAATCTTTACGGAACCAGTCTGGAGTTGTATCCTAATAACTATTACAGTAAAGACCCAAAACGTATGTCAGCACCAGACTATTGAAGCCCTGTTTCTACGCACATCTGCACTCCACTATCATTACATGGAAATTTAGCAGCTGAGAAACAACAATGGCGTCTGTGAGTACAAGTAACGTGAGACTTCTGTTTGAATATTTATGAAATGTAGTAAAACAAATACAGCATGGTTTATTTCGGGAAAATTGTGGGAATTACTGATCCCTCGGTGTAGGTCAGCTTGACTACCTCCCTCTACTTTGCATCAGGAGGTAGTCAAGGTTACCTACAACCTCGGGACCAGTAATTCCCGCTACTTCCCCTCAAACAATGATGTATTTGTATAATACATTCCTGGGAAAGAGTATGAGAAAACACACAAAGTTACAGCTGCTTACATCTCCATTTGTCATACATGACCACAAATGAAAATCAAGGGCTCCACAAACCAAATTCTAGTTTTCAATCCAACACTTTGGAAATTGAGCGAGGGTGATGTCTGTCTCTTGTTTACCTAGAGAAAACTGGAATACAAGAAAGTAATGCATATACATTGCTTGCCTTGATCGTGGTGGACAATTCAAAAATGAAATTCAAAATTTAAAAAAAGAGGTCCCTTCAGGACTTCCTTAGTTTACCGCAGAGGGGTTCTTAACTTGAAAAGTACTGGAAAAGTTTATTTCCAAAATGCCAAATACCCATTTGAAACATATGAAACTTTAGTTTCAGATTAGACCCCTCTCAAGGATTCTACTCAAATAAATGCATTTTGAGAGAGGATTTGACTGTTCAGATCACAGGAGAATAAGAACAACATAGACAGTAAAGTTCATTTCACTTTTTGCTGTATTGAGTTGTGATTAACTACGTAGAATCCAATGAAATTGATTTTCGGCAACTAAGAAAAGATGGGATTCTAATGGGTACCAAATGGTACTGGCTGCATTTGGAAATAAACTTTTCAACTGATTTTCTTTTAGATGGAACATGTTTATTCAGATGCTAATTCCCTGAATTCTTTCAGAGAGAATTCTCGCCCTGCTTGGACAAGCTTTCTGAGTGCCTTCGCTTTCTTCTTGTCCCTGTCATACATCTGAAGATACAGCTCAATGGGACTCCAGAAACTCTGGAGGTTGTTGTACGCTCTCGGTCTCGGACAGTTATAGTGATCTTCCGATGCCTGGAATGTTTTGAGCGATAGACGCAGAGCGGCGCGTTTCAGGTTCTCGTGAACCCGGGCGCAAACGAAGCACTCAAACTCATCGATGAAGTTTGGGAGATTGTCGTTGTTCACGCCCCACTTTCTGGCCTCCATGGTTTGAATGAGCCTGCGGTTCGCTACACCGACTTTCTTGAAATTCAAATATTTGTCGTATTCTATGTTGTTGCTGACAAGGCGGTTGAGATAAGTGGCCAGTTCTTTGGGACTGGAGAAGTCATCGGCGATGACAGCTGATTGATTGTCTGGTAGCCAATCCCGAACACTCGGGGACCCCCTATAGACTGGCACTGACCCCAGCACCAGAGGGCGCCAGAGTTTTTCTGTAATGTAGTCATTGCATATTGCATTTTCAAAGGCAAGATTGAATTTATATTGTGCCAGGATCTTATACAGCCCCTCACTGTGCATGGTGAGCGGATCAACCAGTTCAGGCGGCAAATCCTTGTTGTGTAAGCATTGCCCATAGGAGTCTATGGGTATGTACTTCATAAGCTCTTTAACGTATCTATCCCGATCGGACGGTGGGTCGCAGTCAGAATGGACATAAACCAAAGGGGCTAACCCACCAGTGCTCTTCAACTGTGTGGGGACAAGATACTTGGTACTCGTCAAATCGGAGAGTTTCTCCAAGTACTGGGTGGTGATGGGGAAGTCTGACTCGCGCTTGAAGGTAGCCGTGTGGTTGAAGAGCGTCAGGCACTCTCCGTGGGACAGCACGTAGTTGTTCTTGGGCGACTCCTCGTGGAGCAGGGCCCACTCGTGGTGTTTCTTCCGGGGCAGAGGGAGGTCCCTGGGCCGGAAGTCGGTGCCGTAGAATAGAAAGGCCTTGGTCTTGGGGTGGTCCCTGAAGTGTCGGTCCACTGTGAAGAAGCAGTGGTCGGCCCCGCACGTCTTGACCTTGCCTCGCTCGCCGGTGAAGGGGGTCCACCAAAGCAGGATGGGTACTTTGATGTCCATGCCGGAGACATTCACGTTATTGCTGTCGTGCTGGTCTGTGCCATCTACAAATTACCAGGGAGAATGAGGCAGCTTAGCACATTATTCCATGTAACAGTCTCTTTTCAAAAAGAAATCACTCCTTTAGGATGCCCTTCTTGCGCCTCTGGGTTACGGTTTACCATACTTACTTCTCCCCCCACAGTTTGCAGGATTAATCCTAACTCCCTTCCAAGAAACCTTCTAGAATCGTCTAAATTCTACCCCCTCCCCAAGCAGGGTCTGGATCGTACATTCTTTGTGCAAAGAACGCCACGGTAACAGGGCAGCACTGCAGGAGATCCATTTTCCCAAATAAACGTTACTCATGCAAAATCCTCCAAACCTCCTGTTGGGCCTTTGGAAGAACTACTGGGCTACTCATGAGTGTTCCAGAGCGTTCAGGTTGTTTTTCTTTAAATCTCAGCTTTGCTTATGTCTTTGGCTTCATCTTGAGCTCTACAATCAGTTTTAAATATTTACTACGGTAACCAAATGGAAATACTCAAAACCTTGACCAAGTGGAAAATACTGAACCAGATGCTCCCATCTAAGAAAATGGAGTTGTACTATGCTAGAGGGTCTCAACTTAAAAAAGGTTGCACAAAAGTTGAAGCCTGCAGGACTAGAGATGAATCCGACATACAGACAGCCTTGCACAGCTCCATTTGTAAGTGAAGCAAGCACTTGTTTTTCACAGAGCACGCTTACACTGCATTACATGGCATGGATTGGTCAATCCAACCACAAGAGGAAACTTTGATTGTAATGCACCTGTATCTACCCAGCTTGATTATCAACAATGAAAGAAGTATTAACAGAACATTACTTGGGCCAAACAATTGGTAAGTGCACTGTCACTTCCTAACATTCATCATGAAGAATTTCAGGCTCCTTGAAATTGTTCTAAAGTAATAAATTACATTGTACATGAAAATCAGATGAAATCTTCTTCTTCTAGAGTTTAAGATGACACAAACTGACGTCAACATACAGCCACTTGAGTCAGTGCCAGAAATGTTAAAACCGAGATCAGGTATAAAAATCCTGTCAACATTGACCATAGCTTGTTCTAAGGTAAAAAAAAAAAGCTTTATGCAAAACAATACTTTTTGAAATGAGTTCTCCTCCATAGTCGACATGATCAAAAAGCTGGAACTGCTGCTGAAAACCATTAGCTCCATCATCCCAGTAGAAGTCCTGGTCGTCAAATGACTGCAAAACCTTCACAAAAAGAAGAAAGATGCACAGATTGGACTTGGGAAACTAAACCGATGATTTTCCCAAAATTGCCACGAGGGCTTCTACCGTGATCCTACTAGGGCCCCTCTATTAGAAGTGCCCCTACAAGGCTCCTCCTTGATGTCTTTCTTGAGGTCTGGGTTTGCTTGGTTCAAGGTGCTTTGGGTCACATGGCTTGTGAGTTAAACTTTGACCTTCCAATTTCTCAACCAAACTTTGAATGCCCATAACTTGAGTTTGGAACGTCGGTGGAGATGATTTTTACCTAAAGCCTACAAAGTAATTAGTCATCTGTGTTCCTTGATCATTCAAACACTTGAATGAATCAGTGTAGTACACAAATGGTAGTGTTGAAATGACAAAACAGAGACCAAAATTTTACAGACTGGAACACTTGGGGACTTGCAGTTCGTATGAATTAACAAACTGCCTGCATGAGCAAAGCTGAGTGAGAAATATGGGGCTCAGAGGGAAGTGCTTCAGAAAGTACCGGTAGGAAAATTTACAGAGTTCATGAGCAATTTAGGGCCAAGGATACGGAGGTTTTCGAGTACAGCAGACTGGCCAATGTATGGGGCTTGTATGACAGCAACCCCTAAAACTATGGGGCTCATCATTACGCTTCTCAGAAAGGTGTGACAATGAACCCCAGGGGTAGCATAACCCCAAGATTGGACATGAATAAACCTTTTCAACATTCACAATGCATTATGGGTTTGGATGACAAATGAAGTACATGTACTGCATTTTATACACGACCCAATGGAAGCAGTCTACCTGAGAAACATGAATCTGATTTCATTTTTCACGTCCTCCAATTCAAGCCATCCTCTACTCACGGTTTTGCATTCTAAGTGTCTGATAAAATGATTCCCAATATTCAAATGCTAAACCAAACCAGAAAAATAAAATTTGCAGAATCCCCTTCAAGAAAACCACTTTTTGTTTTGGACTAAGATTGTGCTTACTACTGAGCCAGTATCAGCCAATCAGCGTCAGTACTTGAAGCTTGCTCATCCACACTGACCAATCACATTAATTTTTCAGCCTAAAGTAGCTGCTGCTCTTTTTAAAGACATTTAGGGGCAATTTCTGTTTTCTTCTAACAAACGTTTGAAAATTTCTTATTATTTTGTAGGGCCATCTGTGATTTGATGTGATGAGAAAGCATTTCAAGAAATTTTCTTAACAACACTTAAAATTCAATTTCTGACTGGTTCACTTCATCCGATCGTTGGCCTACGTAAATCTTATCAGACATGCAGTGTTCCTTATCTTTGGCATCATCTTCCTATCTATGGAAACAACAAAACCAGTGACCTAGATATGTCCTCTTTCATATCAGAAAGACTGTGTTTGTGAAAAGTGGGTAGGGCTCTGAATTTTTTAAGGAAATTATAGGGTAAAACAGCAAGGTAGTGAATGAACTACCATAAACTTTAGGATTTGGGGTAATAAGTTTAATCTGGCTCCTTAACCTGGATGAAGATTTGTGATAAATGTTGATGAATCTTTGTTTATTCCCAATGGTCAGACCTAGTAACCGGACTAGAGGTGAAGTGCCTCCACCTTCAGCTGATTTGAAGCAAAATAGCTTGATTGACAAAGCAGCTAAGAGAATTGTTTTGTACTTAAATATACTTCAAAGTTACCTAGAGCTGTCAGGATTAAGTTATGAATGCCCAAGGTCAAAATGTCAGTCATCTTATAAAAAAATGACCTCGGTGTTTCCTTATCATAGGAACAGGGTTCTGAAGGTCAGGAACACCATAGGCCTGCATTAGTCAAGGAAAAGCGCAAATTAGGAAACATTTTCCGATTCAGAAACAAGTTACCGAATTAGAAAATTTCCAGCACAGTATAAATGTACATATGCAAGTAAAGAGTGCCATTTCTAAAGGGAAATGTGAAACTGCAACCCCTTTGATACCGTTTCAGTCAGTGTCACACCCAGCATGTGTCGTTTGGGTGGCCGACAAAACTCATGGTTGGGAGAGGGGGCTGGTACTCAGAGAGGGGATGGACTGGGATATGACCACCTAGGCTTATATGGTCGAATGTTATCAACTTTTGAAAGAAAATGTACAGATAACATTTTGATTTGCACAGACAGAAATTTACGCAAGTAAACGTAAATCACACTTCAGAAACTTTTTATCATCGCCAACATGTCAAATTTTGCACTAGTGTGGTTGAATTTTGTATTTCCAAAATTCTGAATTGGGAAACGTTATCGTTACCATAATTGGGAAACATTTCCTACTTAGGAAGCGGGCATTTTCTGAATTTGGAAATGTTTCTTCAATCGCACATTTCCGGGACTGACATGTGGCATTTATGAATCCCACAGAAAAAAAAACCTAGAGGGCGCACTCCGTATTCTACGTACGCAGTACTCATGTGCCGACATGGACATGCAGTTGCCATTTGCCATTGTACTGTGAGCAAAAGTAAGCTAAAACTTAAAAAGTGCCCAGTAGTGATATAACCGCATGCCGCTTTTAAACTGATTTTGCAGCGACCAGAATGTGCTTCTGTGACAGGTATCCACACGTATCACACGTTATGAGCAATACGAACACCGCATGCGAGTGCGCGCCAAGCATGTTTGAATTTTTTCACGTTGGCAATGGCGGTCGTTGCTTCAGGTCACGCGACGAGTACACACTCAAGGTTTTTTATAGAGGTTACTAGGCCTATGTATGTACTTCCTGAACAGTAAGGCACTACTCTGTAGGCCTTACTTACTCCCAATGTTTGATGGTTCCTTATGCAACAGCATTTGAAAAGTGCCCTGCACCAGGAAGTACCATCATGAATCAGTGAGGCCACTGAAGTAGTACTTTGCTGTTCTTATTCAGGAAGTACGGTGATGCAGCCTCATGTTTGGCCCAGCATGTTCAGCTCAGCTCAATTGCAAAATCGCACCCAACTTTGAATGACACAGTACGATGAAAATCTACTATGACCAAAAATGAATACAAATACCGAAAATAAGATGCACACAGAAGCACAGAAAATCACAAACGTAAATGCCAAACATTTGCGCAATCTGCATCTGCAACACCGCAACATCTTGCCATCTCCGAAATAGTCGGGACATTATTGTTTACCATTGTATTTACTCAAAAACATATATACAGATGAAGGTACCAGACAATCTTTCCCACCAAGCTGCAAGAGGGCAGTATGACAGTTTCACGGAGGCACGCGCTTTTCTGCGATTATCAAAATCAAAACTCAATAAAACCAAACCACAAAAACAACACAAGACTCACCATGCTTAAAATATAGTACCATCAAACAAATGAACTTCTCTGAGTGCTGGTTTATAACGATAATCATTTGTCATCAGAAGGACATTATTTTGCAGAAGTTTGAGAATGTGACCAGCAGAATTAACGTTTTATATTGCCTTCTTGAATGACAACGAAAGGACTCTACTCTCTTAAAAAAGGGGGGGGGGAATTGTCCAAATGCAACAACTATTTATCATATCCTACCCCTGTTCATGCTGAAAAACCTAGTTTAGTCACTTTATAGCCAGGGCATCCCTTAGCCAGAAAAAAAATTTAAAAATCCAGCCAGCCTCCAGCCTACTCCCATAGGACTGTGTGCTAAGTGGTCCCTTGTGTACAATCTAATGGATTATTTACAAAAATGTTTCTTATCAGTGACAGCTGTCTGGAACTTGTCAGAGGCCTCTTTCGGCTGCCTTTGAAGTGTTATTTTGTTTTGGGGGGGGGGTTGTGGTGGTGGTGCGGCTTGGCTGGCGCGTGGCGAGGCCCCCCCCCCATCGGGATAGCTTGGGAAAAGGGCCCCCCACCGGACTGTTATGTACTTTGGTGGTTTTTAAGAGCTGTAGAGGCTGGGGGACAACCACTGAAGCATTTATATACCTTTAGGACGGACTCAGATCTCTACAACTCTGAGAAATGATACGGACTCACCAAACGAGCCGCTCCAGCAATCATGTACTAAAAATCAAATCAGAACGCGATGCAGATGTACATGTATACATTGTACTAGACTTTAAGTAGTAGCAGAATAACTCCATTCAGTTATCATGGTACAGATGCTTTTTCGCGTCTACGATGATATCAAAATCCAAAAGTGTCTATATACTCTGATGAAAGTTAACTCAAAAGTAAGTTCTCCGTCAATCTACTTTTGCTCAATCTGTCTTTGGATTTCTTTATAGGGGATAGCGCGAACGCAGTCCCCACTATCAGAAATTGTACTCCCGAGTTCCAAACATTAGAAGGAATCGCACGGGTCAACCCGTCCAAGTGCAATGACAGGGCCTCGCCGTGGGAAAACTGCCTGATTGATCACAGTTTTTCCTGAGCCAGGTAAGTATGAATAAGAAAATGACAATTTCACATAGGATCCTACGCTTGCCATTTTTTATCACAGTGTTTTATAATAGTCGTACTGCACTTGGGCTTTGATCCAAGGACTGCGCATGCGCAATCTGCTGAATATGCAAATACTTTTCTAACGTTTGGTTCACGTTCATGTACAGTGTACATGTACATGTCCAGGCCATGTACATGTACATGTACCGTACACGTACAGTACATATACAGTACATGTACAAACATATACTGTACCTAATGTGCGCTTGTAACATATCACGTGATCACTTCGCGACCAATAAAAAATCACTATGTACTTGTAAATAACGTGTGTACGTACGTAGAGCTGTGTTTTTATATAGTTCTAAGGTGTGTACATGGCTCGGAAAACTGGGTGGTTAAATTACAGCTTCGTGTGGTTATTTGATCTCACATAAGCAATGTTAATGTTATTATGCTCTCGTATACACAGGTAGGTTTTTGATACAACGCACGCCTGGAGTGTCCCATATTGTGTACCATTTCTTATGGTCCCCAGTAGGCCTAGTCCCTATTTGTTTGTACACCGTAGGGGTGCACGTTCAATGTATATGTACCTGTATTACATATCACACGGTACTGAGGACAGATAGCGAGCATAAGGCCTATCGTAGCACAATTTAAGTCGATAGTCAACGAGTATATACTGTTTGTGAGTGGTTTTTTAATATAATTAATCACTTGGAATTTACTTGTTGGTAATCCATTTATGGTGTTTTGAACGAGCTGTCCAAACATAATGTAATTGCCTTTTTCAGGATAAACAAAGTATTTTGAATTAAATTTAATTGAAACTTTTTTTTATTTTAATTGGACGAGCGTAAAATTCTCCTACTCCCATTTAGCCTACAATTTGTACGGGCGGCCAAAATTTGCAGAAAAATCACTTTTTTTTTGTTTTTGATGTTACCTCGGTTTCGTTCCAAATGTGCGTTTGTCCCATTAATTTTAAAGGAGGTTGTATTTTCATTTAATATTCAGCTGCTTGGGGTTTTTAACACTGTGAATTATTCTGTTACTTTTGAACTGACGGCTAGCCATAATTTCAGCAGCTACTTGTAGGGAAAAACACAACTATGACGTAAAAAGAGCAGACCCGTCCGCCTCCAGGAGAAATACCCCCTCATAGGTTGAAAAGAACTATGTCCGCTCTGAGCTGAAGTTCACCCTCAACGGTGAAAGAAAGACACACTGGTAGTAAGAAGTTTTCCAATCAAGTTGCGCGTTCGGGCGCGGGTGCACGCGAAGACCATACGTTCCAGCATAAAGGGTTTTGCGTACTCAGCATGCGGCCCAGCACCGATTTTACACATTTTTATGGGCTGGTAACTATGTTGAGCAGTGCAACCTTAAGGAGTTTACACCCTTAAGCGCAGGTGCTGTAAGAAAGTGGAGAGCTAGATTGGGGGGGGGGTTGAAGCTTGAAGCAGCAAACAATCTACGGTGGAAGGAGGTCATTTTATGGTGTGCGTCGCTCTGTGTCCTTGCTCTATGGTCGCTCCATCGCCCCGACGCCACGACAAGACATCACGATGCTATGTTATTCTATAGCCGCCAAATGTGCGTCGCGTCGTCCCGTCGCCCCGACGCGACGGGACGGCCTAATCCACACTGCATAAAAACCATACAATTACAGGCGACGCTACGACGGCACGGTGCGATGCTACGACGGCACGATGGGACGGCAAGACGGGATGAAACGACGCAACATCATCAAGAAACAACACGACACGACGGCAAAACACGATGTATTGAACACAGTGCAAAGGTAATGGGGAAAGAGGCGACGGGACGACGCGACGGGACGACGCGACGGAGCTGTCTTAGCGTTGTGTCGTGGTGTCGGGGCAACGGGACGACACGACGCAATTTTGGCGGCTATAGAACACCATACGATGCCACCGTCACGTCGTGCCTTTGTGCTGCCATAAAATTGCCCTTATCAGACTAGATTGGGGACGCACTTACATTAGCCCTTTCTATGGCCATGCCCAAAGCCCTAAGCAATCTAAACCACACTAATGTTGAAAGAAAAAGGATAATTGAAAAGGATACTGTCCAGGAAACGAGGCGGACGTTTAGGAATGTGTTTAACTCTAAGCGCCGTTTTACAGTGAAGAGGTGACGGCATGGCGCAACGGCAGGACGCGACGGAGCCGTTGTGGCGTTGCGTTCGACGGTACAACGAAACGCAATTTTGTCGTCTTTATAACACCATAAATTATAATGCCAAGATATTTTGTTCGTAAATGGGATTTTCATCCCGTTTCGTCTTTTTTTGCCATTTCTTTTCCTCTCATTTTTTCTTTTATTCTCAGTTTTCCTTTATTCCCGGACGCCCCTGGCTCCCTTTTGATGCTGCCCCCGCCTTTAAGCCTCATTATTGTCAAACCATAAGTTCAACGCCGTGAATCGATTGGTTCAACCACTCTCTCGAGCTTCATAATAGACTTTCAAGAGGACTCCGGTTCATTTTTACTAGTCAAGAGAATAAGACGCAAAACACAACGGGTCCAGAGCTATATGTAGAAAGATTAGTGTCATCTCCAGACTTTGGAACCAAAATGGCTGTTTATTATGGGAGCAGTACAGCAAGCAGCTCATGAACGTATACGTCCGTGGTGCTGCTATGTTGCTAAGGCCATAAGAGATAGAAGTCCACCGCTCACATGTCCCGAACGCAACTACCCCTAAAATCACTATTTACAAAATGTCATTATAAGTAGGAAAAAGACACAAAATCACAAAAATCAGGGTTCCCAATCTCCCAGCAGTTGTACAAAGTACCGAATCGATGCATTTCATCCATTTAAATGGCTTTCGTTACATAGTTTCGTATGTCCAGATGTCTGCTTGAGCTATGGCCGCCTCACGTGCGTCGGACCAACTTGCACGTGTATTATTTTCCTTCTCCTGCCGGTCTGTTTTGTTGCGATACTCGCTATTTCACCTGATCCATGAACTGATGAAGGGCCTACATGTTGCTCATCCCTCAGCAAGGCTTTTGGTTGTAGTTTTGTATACACAGCAAGATATTGGACAGAGGGGTGTAATGATCAACCAACACAAGGGTTTGGGTGTGGGGGCGCTCTCCGTCACATGCTTGAAAAGTGTCTGTACTTGGAGGTTGAATAAAAATGAATAATGAAAAACGTCTCATATGTTTTTGAAATTTTTAAGACGCAAATCAACAACTTCTATTCACATAGCCTAAATGTCCACTTGCACCATAAACCACCGTTATGGTTCCAACAATTAAGACACACATGTTGCAACAAGCTCACAACGGGTCAGGCCTAGTGCGCCCTCTATACGACCAGGGCGTGCTTTTGCTCGCAGTATAACGTTAAGGCAATCTGGCAGTAACTTAATTTTTTTTTTAAATTTCTTCTTGGGCTTTGCTAGGGAACCAGTCAGCAATCGCGAAATGGTTTGTTGTCAGTTATATGACAGTTGTAAATATGCGCCAGTGTAGACAATCCTTTGTCTCCTTGTAGTTAATAAAATTAGCTTGAAGAAAATAAGCACTTGTCTAACACATAAAAGCTGCAAAATTTTTAATTGACAGCCGAGTCAACTGCAATAAAAAAGTATGAAGATATAACTCAAATGTCTGCCTTGCATTATTAAAAGTTAATAAAATATCCACTGTTGATAGCTATGATTTGAGGGAAATATTAGTACTGACTTGGAAAATATTCCCTGAAGAACTTTACACTTATGTATGGAAAGACGGAAGGGGGACCGGGAACAGTTTTTCCCTCAGACATAAAACATTTATATGTTTGCGGTATTGCCGCACAGGTAAAGGGCGCCTCTCTAAAGTGGTTCGTTTTGTTGTTGTTTTTGTTAAAAGTGAGAATTATGTGGGGTTGCACTTTTTATCTCCTTATCATCTCGTTAAACATTATTTGGGTATGATGGCATCATAATCTTGAAAGCTGACAAGTCATCTAAGAAAAAAAGAGGCATGACGTGGCCATTAAAACTCAGTTATAGAAATGACAAGGAATTAATGAGTTACATTTAAAAGTTACCCAGCGAGTTTATCATTTTCAATTTATCGCTGCCGTCATAAACGCGTTTTCAGCTTGGGTAGTTCCCCTCAGTCTTGTCATTCGTGCGCATGCGCACTAATGCACCACTTAAGAACATGGCCGCCATCCGGACGAACGGTGGGGTGTTGTGAATTCGTCTTCAATCTTGCTGAATAACTATTTAAACTGTTTCATTAATTTGTATCTGTTTGAGGAAGAAAATTCAACAACTAGCACGGTATGTATTCACAGTAAAGAAAGCGTGAGTTGATAAATGGGTTAATTTTGTTTTCGTGGTTTCGAACATGTCGAAATGGATTTGGCGTGTTTGGGGGAGTGTCATTGGAATTGTACACGATGGAGCATGTACATTTAGTTGTAGAATTTCTACACGTTTTACCAGTGTCAACGTAGGCAGGCCCTAGCTTGAGGAGTGAAATACCAGATTGTGCGTAGATGTTACTACTGTGCTGGTCGATCGGTCCTTTCAATTACAGCTCTTTACCTATGCTACTTTTAAAATGGAAAGGAAATTAGTTTCAACATCAGTTGGCCTAGGCCTACCTAGCCTAGTTTGACTGCAAAAAGTGCTCATACGCCTACTCATGTTACTGGGGTTCATTACCTTTAGCACCCTGTTCCTATTATAAGCAAACAAATTCTACTTTTTCAAAACAACTTATCTAAACAAGTTGTTGGTGATGTCTTCTTTCATATTAGAGAGAAAAGAGAACAGTGATTTTGGTTTTTGAGGGAAATTTTTGGGTAAAAACGGCAGTGTACATGACCTCTCCGAAGAGAGCTGTGATCGACAAATAAGCAAATGTAGTCTGGTTCCTTGACTTGGATGGAGATTTGTTTTGATGAATCCCAAATGCCTGAGTCAGGTAACCAGACGAAAAACAAAATGGTGTGATTCGACTGAGTGGTTGTCTTTTGCCAAACTCGGGTTAGAAATTTGAAGTTTTCTTGCTTAAATATTGTCATAATTTACCTAAACTAGGCCTATCAGGATTGAGTAATGGTTCCTTAAGGTCAAAATGTTAGTTTGAGACAGTGGACTTAGTTTCCTTACTGTAGGAACAGGGTGCTAATGGTAATGAACCCCATGTTACTCTCACCATAGACCCTCTGAAAGTCATCACAGTCATATTGGCATGAGTAGTCATTACATTACTACTAATGTCAACTTGCTTTCCTCGGCAAGACATCAGCTTTGAATCCAGGAAGTCACACTGGGAAAGAGTTCCATACACGGATGCCACTTGACGCCCTGAGCACTAACCTGGTTATGGACTGGTCTTAATAATTTTAAGTGTTTTCTAAGTGAACGACTTGGTTTTTGTGAACTTTTCCGGACATTTGTTTGCTTTCTGAAGGTTAATAGGTCACTGTAGTGGATAATTACTGGCGTCCATACATAGCAGATACATGTACATGTACGTGTATTCCTGTAACCTAGAATGGAAAAATATCAAATATCCAACCCATAAAATAATAATTAAAATGATAAATAATAAATTAATAATTTTTGTTGAAGGACTTCATATTTCTTCCTTCGTCAGTATATTCAACTCCTTAGAATCTCATCTCTCACTTGGATAGGGAAAGCTATCAGAAAGGGTTAGCAAATACAGATGTAAATGTGGGACACAACAGAAACATTTAGGGGAGTATTTTTTTGTTTGGAGGACAATGAAGGCAAAGAAAGAGAGTCCGCCATTGTTTTAAATTGTCATTTGAAAGGGCTGTCCACATCCAACAATGTAGTGTTTTTAAAACTAAAACTGCAGATTCAGTCCCCACATTTCCTTTGATACTTTCTCAGTGCATCTCTTTCTGTTGTTGAGCCTTGCAGATTTTTTTGCATCAGTTTTATCAAAATTATACGTGTACATTGCTGTTATCACAAGATGCCCATTTTTGCTAGATAGATCAGCCCATGGAGGAAGGACACAGAAGGAATTTGAACTGCCCGGGCTATAACATCTGGCCAATTACCGCTTTCTGGCATGCCCGGTATGTCCATAGCCAGAGTGCAGCGAATGCTTGCTACGCAACACCTGTTTTACAACCATGAGCCCCCTTGGTACTCTGTGATCATCGCCACAATTTTTCGCTGGTAAACTGCATCCTTAAAAAGTTGTGTATTGCAGTATATGAAGTTGAATATTCATGCCGTCGTTGGTGCTTGATATGATCTGAAAACAATATCAACTTTAATGCTTGCGCAGTTGCTTTTATGAAGCTGTGTACCGGAAGTGTTCACGTGCAGTCATTGTCCTTATTGAATGCTTTCTTCTGGACTCATTTTGGGAATAAATAGCCAAGTTGTTTATACGATTTTGTGTTTTATTTGAATCATTTTTACGGAATTTACACAAAAAGGCATTTCATGAGATCTCATGATCACTCCTTGTGATGAAACAGTGCATTTTTTTTCTTGAACTGTCCTGTGGTGGTCAACATGTTGTTGGTCAGTCTTAGCCAAATTCGTACTAAGACTTTGCAAACTGAGGTTTTGGAGTGACAAAATAAAATTACAAACATTGCACGGATAATGGAAAAGTGCATCAAAATCTTAAAAAAAAAATAAGATCACGATAGCAAAAGCAAATCTAATGCTTGATGTTTTTCTTTCTATTTCCTGGTCACTGCAATAAGTTGTAGTTACCGGTAATTGCAAAGAAAACACCACAAATATTGCTACGATATTGCTGGCCCCACTTGTCCCGCTGTTAGCTAGAGGCAGCAATCAGGCATTTTTGGAATGTTCACTATTGTTCGTATGACAGGTTGGTGATGATCATTGAGCACTTTGATGTGCCCGAGTTGTAACTCCTGTGTCCTTCCTCCATGATCAGCCTAAAATACTAACTCTTCCACTGATGTGCTCATATTTAATGAATTACCCATGCCTTAACGTGCATTTGAAATTTCATAAAGATCAGGCTTGCGACAACAGATCTTATCCCGGCTTCTCCCTTTGAGATGGAGACAGACAAACTTATTCCTTATTCAGTAGAATCAGGGACTGTTCTTTTCTTTGTCCAAGTTTATTGTACCATCGGGGAAGTAAAGATACATCTATGTACAGTACGTCCCTACTTAGTTACTGACTGTTGGAACCTAACCAGGGCAACTGCAGAATAGAAACTTACCACTTGGGACTCAACTGAACACTTGTGGCCTGTAAACTGAAGCTGACCGTAAACATTTCTTGTTTCCGTAAATTTAAACGTGCAAGATAAAAGCCTCTGCTGGAAATTCCATGCAACCACAAAGGACGTAAATCTGCTTCTCAAAAGTCTTGCTTAGCAGAAGTCAGTTGTGCCTCCCACACCCTAGGTATGTAACCCAGCTATCTTCTTCCAAATCCTGGAAGGTCTTGGAGGATTATGAGGGACTGAGGAAGGTACATGTACATGTACCTGTATTGATGGGTCTTTTGGGACATAGGCCAAGATTTAAAACTGTTTTATTTTTCCTGTCCTGTGTAGTCTTATTTGCATTCCATAAGGGAAGAAGTTGACAGAAAGAAAAGTGTAGTGTACATGCCTCTGGTTTATGTTGGATTTTGCCAAGGTGAAACACTTGTGGGACCAAGTCTGGACGGGACGTCAGTGCTCATACACCATTGCATGGAACACAACTTTCTGCGGTTTCATGCTGAATTAGCCAGTTATGATTTCTTCAAATATTAGGCATTTGGGTAAATGGGGAGATGTTTTTGTTTATTGCAAATGACAGAATCAGGCCCCCCCAAAAAAAAAATACTTGTGCTTTCGGTTTCCCAACTGACCCTAATTTTTCAACATAACCCTAAAATTTTTATTGGCCAGGTAAACATGTATCTCTGAACAACCCTTCTTTCACATTAAAATGCTTGTTTTTATATGTTTTCCTACATAAATTTGCACCTTTTGAAAAGAAATTGCTGTTATTTTCACAAGTTCCCTTTGCATTTTGCTGTCGCAGTGGTGAAAACAGGTGCGCAAAGCTAAATGCCGTACAGCAAGGTTGCTTTGGTTCCCGCTGTGCTGCGCTGTGGCGATGCAAAAGAATTCGTGATGAAAATGTGCAATCTCTATACTGTACATCGTGGTCAAAGTAGCCTTGGATTACACTACATCAGCAGTACACGCATGCAACCCTACAGCTGCAGGTCGAAAAAAATCAATGTCGCAAGAAGACTTCTGCAAGTTAATTCTCAGAACTTGGTCTCTTGTCTATGTACATGTATGTATTTTCTGTGTTCATGAGTTTAATTTGAGGTTGTTTTGCTTGTACATTACTTGAAGCGAGCCTGCTTCCATGAAATTTCCTGTTGTGGCATGAGGTTTATAGCCTGCCTGTCTGGATGCATCACGCATGCTTACCACGTTATACACGGACATTGTTGGCCAGTTTGCTGTCGTGATTACCTTACTGGTGTTGTGCACAGGGATGTGAATTGTGCATAATTCTTATGAATTGTCGACTGACAAAATTTTGACATATAGATTAAAGAAATTTGTTACGGCAGTATTGGAAGCCCTTGTCCCCATTCACGCCATTCAATCAGGACAAAACATTGACCCCTCAATTTTTTTTCCGACCTACTGACTCTACTGTTGAGAGGCATGTAATCGGAAATAGATTTTTTTTTTTCTTGGCCTTATCATATTTCATATTGTAGTCTCACATGTAACAAACTGGGACATGAAAAGTTGCGTTGTAATACTCAATATTGCCGACAGTTTGACAAGAAAATGTTATTACTGAACTTGCTGTAGCATATTTGAAAATTGAGAATAATTGATTCTAAGGCCATTCAGCATAAAATATGTGTTAAATGCCACACATTTTAGAAACCAGAAAAGATTATAAAATTTAGATAGTTTTGTCCCTTTTCCTTTTCTCAAAATGAGGAGCTTATAACCACTACTGCATGGCTCACAGATTAAACAAAAATGTGTGGCTTTTTTTTACAAGGAGCAACTATTTTTATGATCTCATAATGTAAAACCTAATACATGTACCTTGGCTTTGTTGTTTACTGTTGAAGAACCCCTTCGAAGTGTGCCATTGTGTGGGTGTGTTTTTTCCCATGGGACCCCTTAAAAGGAAGACTCATCAAATTATATGCATGTATAATGTGGTTTCACAGCTCCCCACTATTACCTCATCACAGACTTGACAAGCCGTGAAAGTTAACAGATACTATACACGTATGTTCAGTCTACTGGTAGTTTAATG